TTTGATGACTAAGTAAGGGCATAATCCCTTTATGGTTTGGGGGTTGTATTTCACATATTATACTTCTATTCCTTTCTGTCAGATTTAGGTGAGGATTTAGAAATTCTAACTCTAAATGTATAGCTCTTGTTAGCAATTGTTATTGTAATATATTGAGGCCTGAATACAACGTCCTTACTTAAACTCCTCAGTACAACTGAGGGAGTAATCACAGTAGGTACGGATGTTGTTGTCAACAAAATCTTCAGCAGCAGCAGAATAACGCGTCCTTTCATCTCGTTGGGCGCTGCAAAACAAAAGGGTAGAATAGACTCGTATTGGTGCGGTTGTCCAGACAGGTTACCCCATTAAAAAGAGGAAAAATCCATTGTGCGCTAATTCTGTGTTTCGCACCACTGCTGTTGGTAGCTTCCCAGACAAGTGGGTCACGAGGTTTGGTTAGTCGTAGGCACAGTACCAATACCCGGTAAGTTGACCATGACAGGTTGTCCTGGCTGTGATGTTATTGAGTATCTTCGTTTCCAGGAGGTGGAGCACCAGGCCCAGCTCTTGCAAAGAATGCTTGGCTTACAGGGCTTCCAGTAGGCACATACCGATTATTCAGTTGATGGAGGACAGAGCACTGGCACAGGTTACCCAGAGAGGTTGTGGAGTCTCCTTCCCTGGAGAGAGTCAAAAACCCACCTGGACACAATCCAGTGCAAAGTGCTCTAGAGGACCTTGCTTGAGCAGGGGGGTTGGACTAGATGACCTCTAGAGGTCCCTTCCAGCCTCAGCCATTCTGTGATTGTGTGAAGTAATTGGTGATACTGCTTGCCATCTTGCCAACTATGGCCATTTGTTGCAGATGGGTGATACACTTCACTCATGAGAGAGAAGCAGCAGTATGTTTTATTGAGCTAAAATAGTGATTTAATAAAGTTCAGTGGTAAGTAAGCAAGATTTAAACAAGATTCAATGGCAAGATTCACTTGGTTATTTACTGCATAGAGGGCAGGGTCAGATGAAACGGTCAGGGAGACCCTCTCATTGAGTCATGGGGTTCAGAGTGGGCACCCTTGCTTTCCATACACCTTCTCAAAGGAGCCTGGGGGCAGCTGGATCCAATCTTAGTCCCAGACTTGGTCAACAGTTTATGTCAAGAGGATTATAGGCACAATCAATCTGAGATGCAATTTAGCAAAGTTTGCAAAGTGTCAGTGCACTGTTAGTCACTTACCAAGGATGTATCACAGGTAAGGAAGGACTCTCTCAACCTCAAGGAATAACCTGGAGAGGCATCCCTGCTCAAGGGAAGCTCCTGGCATGTAACCAGCTACCATGCAGGAGAGTCCAACAAGCTCTTGGCTACCCCCTATTTATGGGGTAAGATGATTGACTCATAGTCATATTTGCCTCGTTGGTGCACACTCAATTAGCCCTTGGTTATTGTGCTGCTATCCGTCTCCCCAGATTCCGATTTGAGCCAGGTGCAGCCATCATGACTGCTACTGGTGGTTATCACCAGAGCAGGGAGAGGTGGAAGGTCGGGTGGTGTTGGGGGGGGGAAGCGCACGGTCACATGTTGTTACAAACTAAATTAACGCTTCTGACACACAGTTTTTAACCTGGCTCTCTAACTTGCTGTGGTGGAGGTAGTGTGTATTTTCTTGTTGGAGATGGCACCAAAACCTATGTGTTGGTTTTTGTGCGTTTAGATACCAAGCTAACTGTCTGATATAATTCTCCTCTCTAGGCATTGTTGAAGGTATTTTACTGCGTGTGTGGTATGCTGTTAACAGTTTAAGACTTCTCACAAATACTGAACTGGTCTTCTGCAGCCTTTTCTCTGTGCCTCTCATCTGTACTCCCGAACTAAATTGCAAACAAGGAGATTATAAATTTGAGTTTTATTAGCCAAAGTAGTCATTAAAAGCAGAAAAAAAAATTATAGGGAGAAAAAAAAAAAAAAGATTAACTGGTAGCATCCAAAAAAGCAAAAAGCATGTGCTATGTTGACATTCCACTCAGGATGGCATTTTCAAATTCAAACAATAGTAAAAATGAGGATTTAAATGTTAAATAAAGATTTCCTCACCATTTATTTTAAGAGCAATTCTCCACAGTCCTTTATTAGGCTGGGCAGGTAATGTTGGTATCAGCATTGAAGATTTGATTTTACTGACACATACAAATCTGCTTTGTGTTGCTCTCCAGGTATAACACACCAGAAATCATCCTGAAGGTATTTATCTGGACTTCAAATGATTTAGGAGACTAAAATTCAAATGATAAGGCCGTTTTTATCTTTTGTATTTTAAATAAAATTTCAGTGATTTTAATATATGTGTATGTATTTCTTTCCAAGTTGTACATTCTTTTCAATTACAGAGTCTTTTGGAATGTTACAACTTTCGTATGACTAACTTTCAGTAATAGGAATCACCTGTTTCTTGGACACCTTGTCTAAGATTTGTTAATGTCTCTTTATCTTGCAGTCGTAAGAATTACTGATGCAATGTATTTTTAGTAAACAAAACAAGCAGTTTTCAGTTAAAAGATGAATATGCTTCATACATTAAGTTGTTAATGCAGTTTTAATTTGCATATGTATTTCTCTGGAAGTGCATCATTGGGGTGGTTCTCACTGGGACTGAGATACTTTTTGCCCTACCACTTTCAATTTCACAGAATGATAAAAGATTAATTTAGGTGGATCAGTCATTGTGTCACGCTAACTATGTTATTTGCTTCCGAGTTTCCACTGGAGTCTTCCCAGCTAAAACTTTAGAGAGAGTTTGTGTATTACATATCAGCAGAAAAATGTCATTTGTTATGTAAGAGTTACAGATCAGGGAATGCCAGGTCTACTCACTGTCTCTTTTGTCCAGTTCCAGGAGGCAGGGCAAATATGCAAAACAAAGCAGTATGTTTTATTGATCTGATACCAGCGTTTTTGAAGCCCCTTCTTTTTCTGGTCATTATTTGAAATCTGACCAAAAATAGGAGTCCAATGAGACAAGCAGATAACTGCTTTTATATTTGTTTGCAACTCAGTCTCTGGAAAAATCCTTTATGCCTGCCATCGTCAGTCACACCAGTTTGCAAAAGAAATGCCATGATGCTTGCTGGCTTATCTTCCTTCCATAACCTACTTCCTTAAGATGTTTTCTCTAGAGCCTTCTACGGTGTAGCCTTTTTGATGCCTTTGCCTCTTAAGTCTTTATGACTTATGGGTCATTTAAGTGATGCTTGCTGCTGTCTGATGAAGTGTGCTTTTTGAAAATAGGACAGAATCTTATATTAAAGGCTCCTTACATCGTTGGACGTTTTGTCTTGGGTAGATGAAACGTCATGCGGAAATAAAAAGTTCTGCTTGGTTGGTTATCAGTTGGAAATAACAGTTGATGAAATCATAAACAGGGTCTCTATGGCTCAGTATCACTTCATTAATCCCTACTGTTCAAGTGATGAGACTCAAGATGACTTTAAACGCAGAACTTGCAGGGAAATTGGATATCATGCAGTTAGTTGCGAGGTTTTGTACATTATGTGAATATAACTATTTCTTCAATATAATATGCATGTCTTGTTCTATCTGTCTTTGCTAAACATTAGTTCTATGTTATTGATCACTTGTATACAAAATAGCATGCTCCAAATAATTTGAATTTTTTGTGGTTGTCTTGCACGCTTAGTGAAAGTTTTTCAGAGCTTTGTGAAGAAAGTAGATCAGAAAATGAGAAGTTATCAACTTAAGACTTATCTAGTAATATTATATCTTACAACAGGCCAAGCTGTTTTGCTTGATAGTATATCTATTACGAATCGTATAGACATAAACATGTGAAACAGATGAACAGGTAACAGCTATAGTTCCTGCACAATTTATCAAAAGATTGTATTAAATCTATCAAGGTAGCTATTACAGCTGTTGAACCCAACCCCTCCAACCCCTCCCCGCTATTGGAGCTTTGACACATTCTGCAATGCATCAAAGCCGAATGATAGGGTGGAAAAATGGACTCCTGTTCATAATGAGCTGTGGAGCAGAATTACACTGAATTTGGTAAAGTTAGCCGTTATGGCTGAATCAGGAAGGCCTTTATCGGTGCCAGTACAGGCACTATTGGCTATTGTAAGATAGGGTTAATTTATAAACCTGCACCAAAAAAAGGATATCGTTTGTGTAGCAAGCAGTCTTAAGAGGTTGGGTAGCTTTTGGAGGTGAGAGGTATTTGGGGCACAACTTAGACACAGTCTATCTTGCAGTGCGTTTTCTGGGGCTCTCTTGTCATATCTCTCAAAATGGGAAAGTTGGAAAGCAGGTTTGGTGAGGCATAAATAAATATATGTAAATACAAGTTCCTGCCATGGAGGAAGTAGCATTTGAAACGCTGTGGTATGTCTGTACGGGAGGGGGTGTGCCAAGTGAAAGTGCTGTTGGTTAAAGTTAAGTTGATCTGTTTCTCTTTCACTTGACTTCTAGGGTTCACAAGGTATTAGGTTTGCCCGGCAGGCACATGTTTTTCTAGAGGTGTAGAACAAGAACAGGAATTAATCTATTTCTAGCAGCAATTTTTTGAGCAATTTAACCTCAGTCTGGGAGTTGACTTAAATTTGTAGAGAATTGCATCTGTAGACATGATACTTCTGTTCTGATGAGTTTCTAATAGCAACCTGGGTATATCCAAGGTGAATGTTCAATGTTCAATTAAAAGTTTCTTTAGTGAATGACTTTGGGTACTTGAACTGACCGTATGTGGAGTCTTGTATTACATAAAGTATGATTACGTATGTATCGCTGTTGGAGAGTATGGAAATAAATATGTACATCACAAATCAGGCACAGCATTAGAAGAGATCCTCGTTTAACCCCCTGGTTTTAAATCCACTGTAGAGCTGATAGCGCCTGTTGTTTCTGAGAGGCTTGTGGTCCTTGCCTGCTTTTCCAGTCTGCAATTTAGCATGTTTGATAAGTAACAAGTTTCTTTGTTTTTGTTTTTAACGCCTTTTTACAGCTATTGGATTAACAAAATGAAGCCTGCTAAGCTGCACTGTTGGATTCTGGGTTGTTTTTCTGTGGCGTTGTGTTGTGGGTGTACTTCAGATCAGTTCCTTCTACGGTAAGTTACGAGTTCCACAGACGTCTCTGACATCTGGCAGTTACTTCTTAAGCGCAGAGCATAGATTTTTGCATAACAGTTCAACTTTTAATCCGAGTAATTCTCGCTCTCTATGTTTTATTTTTTGTATGTTACCCTTCCCTTAGGGACTAGTAAAATGATGCACCTACATTACTGGAGGAGGGGAGGAGGTGTTCATGCCTAAGAAAAGGCAAGAAGAAGAGGGTAACTTAAATTGCTTGTTGAATTTACCAATGTTATGGTCTTGCTTTAGATGGATCATTTAGACTCACAATGCAGTAACTGCACAAAAATCAGAAATAATTCAGAGATAAATGACAGAAGCCTGGAGTCACCGCTCAGGCATGACTTGTGCAAACTGCTAGGCTGTGTACCCATACTTCTTTTTGGTTACTATTTTCTCACTACCTTTAATTGTACGTCTGTTCTCTACAGTATCCCCGCTACGGCTGGATCAGCGGTGGGCAGCCTTTTAGTGGCTGTTGCACTTGGCAAGACGTTGGCTTGAATGCCACTGGGCCGCTGGGGAACCCAGGCTCCAAATCTCACCCTGTCCTGGTGAACGCCCAGGTGCCTATTGGGTTATGTTAGGAGATAAACATTTCTCCCTCCTTTCATGCTTTGGCAAGAATTTTTTGTGTAAGGAGTGCAACGCAGCCTTGCGGCGGTTTGGATGCTGTGTTGAGGTTTCTTGGATCGCCAGGGCTCAGGCTATGGGCTGGCCATCTTGGTGCAGAGACTGCTCTCATTAAAGGCACAGTGCTAAACTGCACAGGGCGAGATAGCTCTCAGGTCAGAAAAAGGGAGCTGTCCCTGAAGATGGACAGGTGTTCAACATGGTGTTCCTTGGATTACAGTTTCGAGCTTAAGATCCTAAAGCTTCCTTTCTTTTGGTAACCTAAATCCTTTTTCTGTTCTATCCTTAGCCAATAAAAGTGTGTCCTAGGAAATTTCTTTTTTTTCAGTTTGGGCGTGATTGTTAATTGCAGAAGTTCAACTACTATTTCAAATATAGATAAAAGCTTTTTTTTTTTCCTCTCTTTTTTTTTAATCAAGGACACTTTTTCAAGCAAGGAAATGAACTGCTGTATAATATTAGGGAATCTATTCAGATTTCAACAGCAGCAGTAAAGATCAGTTGGAAGTGTTAATGGTTTTCATTGTGGCTCTCCTGACTTGTTCCAGACATGTTTAGCTAAATTATTTAAAAACCACAGATAGATGTGACTGCTTAAGAGACAATGTGGCCATCGCAAACCAGCAGAACCGGAGGAAAGACTGAAACGTGATGTAACTTGAGACTACTCCTATTTGAATTTGAGGGATAATTAGCTCTCTCATGTGATTGTGTGAGAGGTTTTTTTTTTCTTTTTTCTTAAACCTCGGCTAGGCACTAAAAGAACATGGGACCGCTAGGTTACCAGCTTCTGGACAAATCTGTGCATAGTGCTGTGGGCTTGAGCAAGTTACAGTTTTGTTCTTGTTGTTGATTAGGTTACGCTTGCGGTTCTATTTAATTACGCAGTGTGGTTGCTTACTAGCTTAGTCTGTGTACTGCACTTTATGAAGCAGCAGGTTTTTTCTCCATTTCCCGTGTTATCCAGATTAGGATCAGAACTGCTGGGAAATGAAGATGCCTCTGCAGAAGTGCCAAAGACATGATTTAGGGTTCCAGCACTTCTTGAACAAAATTTTTACACTTTTTGCTGTGCATAATAATAAGATGGTGGTGGTGCCTCTGTGAATTATACACCTCTTTATTCTAAGAGGCTTTGAAACAATCATGTTTTTGTAAAATACGGAATGTTCCTCCTTTAGTTTTTTTTAGACACATAAGACTGTATAACATTCTGATTATTAAATATTTAAAAATTCCATAGCTTAAGTGTTTAAAAATGTAGTGTTTGCAGTAAATATATGTGAAACAATAAACTAAGCATTTTTTGAGGTTTATGTTTGCTTAGAACCGTGCATTTTACTTTCTTTAATTTTTTTGGCCTGAAAGGCTGGTGACACTAGCCTGATCAAATTGCATCTCCTGCAGTGTCAGCTAAGTTGCTTTTGCTTCTTTGCAGTCTCTGTTTAGGAGTACTTACAATTTCAAGAAGGCTGCATGCTTTCTTTTTAGCTGATATCTTTTAATTCTGCTTGATGAGTATTCTTGACATCCTAAACAAAGACGTCTTTTTATTGTTGTTGTAAGTGCTTGCCAGTAAACACTGTCCTAAATATAAAACAGAACAATACTTTTCCCATGTTTTAAGAAGCAGCAAACATATGGAGATAGGATGCTAGAAGTGAAATTTGTTTAACAATAAGGGGGCATTTGCAAGCTTCTAAATATGTTGCTTGTTCCTGTGATTTGTTATGGTTTGTTATTGCTGTGCTGGTAATTCTCAAATACCACAATAGAAACGGTAAACAATAACCAACTCTAAAATCAATGTGTTACAGAAAAAAGCATTGTGCTGCTAGCTGGAGGTCATGTTCTTTTTAGAATGCTTGAGAAAAATAGATTTGTTTTTCTTTGCCAGTGACAGTCACTCCAAATCCTGGAGGAAGCTGTATCTTGCTCATCATTGGCCAGTGACTGTATGTAAGGTGAGATTTTTATCTTTTGTTTTCCTTTATCCTGACAAAGGGAGCTTTGGAAATTGGTCAATATATGTTTGAAAACAGAATAAACAAAGCCTATTAGGTGTTTAACCCTGCCTACAGCCTTATGCCTTTATAAAGGCATTGATTGTTCTTGGTCCAACTTAATGCAACTTTGCCCCGCCCTGGAGTAGCGATAAACACAGGGTTGTGGCATGTTACGGATATAATAGTCAATGTAGGGCATGCTGGCATGCTGTATAATAAGCCTTAATTGCTTGTCACGTGTTTTTTTTATGTCTCCATAGAGCTAGACTTTGGCCAGACAGTGCAGGGAGAGTTGTGTGCCTTGTCTGAATGAAGACAGCAAACTAGTAGATGCACAGTCTGGTGCACAATTCTTATGTTCCTTTTGCCAGCAAATAGCTACTGCCACCTGAGAAGCAGAACATTTTCCTTATGTGGGAAATACTTGAAAGCCTGAAATTCTTGAAACCAGCTAAGTTAAAAATATACTGTACCTTAGAAAGGAAAATGTGATCAAATTTAGTGACACAAGGTCCTGTGGGTAATAAAGAGAAGCTTCAGTCTTGGGCAAATGCTTGCTGTCTGGAGCTGAAAGGTCCCACTTCTGGGACATTTAGGTATATTTATCTATTTATAAAATTAGAGTCTTACTTTTGTGCTATAGGTACTTCTTTATTTCTGATTCCTTTTTCTGGTACTATGTATAAAAGTGGTAATGATGAAACTTACGTATTGCTATCCATTTTTGTGGATTAGTAGATGTGCTTTACAATAGTTAAATGTGTGTGTTGGGGGGTGTTCAATAACAAACTCCGATGTGAATGACTAACTGAGACCCAGGAGCAGTCACTGTTCTGTCTTTTTGTTTTGCTTTTGAGGGGGAAGAAGGGAGATTTGGTGCACTTTGTGTCTGATTTTGAGTTAAGCAAACATCACTGTTTGCAGAATTGTTGATATTCTGAAATACACACTTGCAGAATTGTTGATATTCTGAAATTTGTTTTGCCTGGCATGACTGGGCATTCAGAGTCAAAAGTGGTGGCAAACCCCTGCTTACATGAATAAAAGAGACAAACTATGAAAAAAAATTTTTTTTTCCTGTGATACGTTAGTCCTGGCTACTACTCTTAATTCTAGGGTAGTGCTGTTGATAAATGGACAAATAACCTTTATGACCTTAAAGCGAAGACATTGTAGTCCGTAAGTCAAGATATCAAGTATCAAAAAAATACAAATTTTCTTGCGTTTTATGTTAATTCCTTGTGATGTTCTGTTTAATACTGCTGGCCACGTTGAAAGGAAGAAAAGCTGGGTGAAGGAAACTGCAAAACATACTATGCTTCGATAAACTGTTTTTGTGCCAGTACTTACTAGCATTTATACTTCCTGTATAAAGGAATCTGATTATGTACTGGGCAGTTCACTGCATACTGTGCTCTTGATAGGTGTATGAATGACCTACATCTAATTTCCTACCTGTTTTAGATATCTCTGTGTGTGGAAAAGATTTTCAGGCTTTCAAATGAAGAGAAATGTAACTTCATTTTTAAAAATAAGTGGGCACAGTCCACTTGCCAGAAATTTGAGAATATACAACTATAAGCTCTTCCTGTACTTTAAGCCTTATGTAATTGTGTTCAGCTTCTTTTTTTTAATTACCCACTGTGTTCTGCACAGTTAAACTGGAAAGTATATGTTTTATAATTATATCTTCGAAACTAACCTGTTAAGAATTTCTAGGACTTAAACTACTGGCTACTACAGCAAAACGATAAAAGAGGGAGAGAGATGTTCTTCCTCATCATGTAAGTAATTATGAATTCCAATATCTTATAAGTGAACTGAAGTGACTGTGTCATTGTAAAAGATATCCAAGCTCAATTCACAGACCTCAGATGGTGATGACTTTAACATCCCCTTAATAAATTGTGCCTATAGTGCAATTTATTAAACTTAATGTGATTAATTTTTTGTTAACATCCCATTAGTTGGCCTTTGTGGAGTTTTTATATGAATGATAACTCTTTACAGGAGGTAGGTGGATGGATTTGCCTCAACCTGACCACTTTCCCTAACAATTTCACATCCGCTAGAAATGACAAATGCTTTGCCAGGGTCAGACTTGAACTTTCTCGTCACAAATGAACGTGAATCCTGTTAGATGGAAAAAGTAACAACTCAAGGGCAGTAAGAGGGACTGTTTTTCCCTTTGGAGTTGTGAAGATCTTTAATTCAAGAACCAATAAAGGGAATTTTTTATTATTGCAGCTTTTGTGTCTTGGAGACTGTAAAAAGAGAAAATCTGCTGTAGGTGCTTCTTGCAGGAATACAGTAGGTGTGTGAAATTGGGAAAATCAGATGCAGGTGTGCAGACTATTCAGTTCCTGCTCTGGTGAGAACGGGAAGGATGATAAAGGAATGGGTCATGAGTCCTGCTGTGGTCTGCTTTGTACTGAACACACATGCTGATCAAATGGAAGAATCAGAGAAAGGGCAACAGGTCCTGCTGTTATGAATGGGCCCACCTCTCAGCTGCGTTTTCTCTCAGCGTAGTTAGTAGGTGCTGTAAGGGCCCACTGGTGCTTTTCTCAGCATTATGGATCATATGCAATTCATTTGGATTGGTCTGGTTATCATATTGCTTTGGGAGAAAACAATATTCCTTTTGTTCAAATTAACCCAAATATGGAAGAATCTCTGGGGCCCAATGCCCACTTTAAAATGCACATTTATAACTCCATTTCAAGTCCACAGTTGCCTGAGGTTGAATTAACCCTTCAGTGATTACGTGAGTGTTTTTTTCAGAAAGAGCAGGGCTACCCAGCATGCCAGATTGGGGTTTGGTCATTTTACAATATTGGTTTAAAACGAACTTTGGAAAAACACTAGTGCTGAAATCTGAAAGGAGGAGGAGTGCAGCTGGCGGAAGAATGCGAAGAGTGACCCGGTGTGTTGTAGGTTGCGTGTGTTGATCTAGCAGCCAGCCAGCATACAGTATAATACAGGGAAGATGACAAAACGTGTAGAGGAAACTGCCAATTACTTGAATGCCATGATAAGGGGAATTAGTGCCTGGCATCCCACGAAGGTAGAGGTAAAAGGATGCTAGATCTTCGTTTCAGTTCTTGTATTCAGTCTGTTTATGTGTCACGTGACTTGAGGAGACTTATGCCCCTGAAAACAAGGTGGTGATTCTTAGTGTCTTTCCCGTGTTGGCAGATTGTGGCAGTGCCTGTTTCTTCACTTCCGGTGCGTTTCAGGACAGTATTTTGCAAGTTTATACCGCACACGCTCTTGAGTTTTTTCAGAGTCAGTTGAGGGCCTTATCTGTTCTTCGGGGAGATTGGAAATTAAGACGTTGGCAGTCTGACGATATTTTCTTAGTTTAGCTTTCCTTCTGGCCACAGAGTGTATTGATTACGATTCGAACCGAAACAGATCCTGGGTCTCAGCCTAAACCTAAATAATAGCAGCTACCTCAAGTTTCAAACGCTGTGGGGTTTCCCGTGGCTTGTCTGAGAATTGCGTTTAAGATGGGATAAAGAGCGTAATGACACTGTGCTTGTTCCCACCCTCAGTAGACCAAGCTGGTTAGCTGTCAGGCTGTTGTTCAGGGGATGATGAATAAGTCGCTGGCTGTTAATGTGTTGTATTTTGGCCTAGATAACTCTTTCAGCTCCACAAAACTTGTGTCGTGACAGGAGCAACGTTGTGTAGACTTTTACTGTGTGTGTCTGTTGAAAACCTTTCAGGAATAAAGCTGGCGCTACCTTGTTTAATTGCTTCTGTTTACTGGAGTGCATAGGTGGCAAGAGGGGAGAGGAAGGCAACGGGCACAGAACCAGAAAGGCTCTGCAGAGCCTGCAGTTTTGCTGCCGCTGGCCTGTGGCATGTGAAGAGCAATTAGTGAGATTACAGGTCTCTCCTGCTCTTCTCTACGCTCTTCTCTGACATTGCATAAAGTGCATAGTGACCTAATTAAGGCAGGACATGAAATGCAGAGCTGAAAAGCAAAGTTATTATTTTGGGGAAAGAAAGTCTGAGGAGGTTGTTATTTAATGGATAAAGTATTGATTAAAAAAAAGAGCCGTAATTACTAAGCAGAATAATCGGGAAAATACAATAATGGTATTCTGTGATGGGTGAGCATAGAATTTCTTTTGTGTAGTCAGGACTATGTAATCTAATTTGAAGAATAGTTGATGTGTAGGCTACTTTTCCTGCCTTATCGAAAGTCTTTTCTGGGGGCTTTTTTTTGGGCGGGAACGTATGTATTCTTTTCTCCTTGCTCTCTTCCCTCCTCCCTCAAGTCAAAATCTTTAAAAATACATTCTAACCCTTTTGCTTGGAGAAAGCAGATTTGATTCGTACTGTAGTACCGATCTCGCCTTGTTTTTTTCCTTCTGTAATTTTTTCCCTTTATGATACAATAACAAAATACTCCTGGACTTTTACAGATCGTTGTGTGCTTGTCTAATATTACAATTTCTTGACACATTGAAATCCATTTATTTTGATAGCTCTGGACTCCTTGGAAGGGTCTGATGCTGAGAAAAATACTGAACCCTGGCAGGCAGAATATCAAAAGATGAATGTAAGTTTACATCCATTTGTGTAGCATGGATCAGGCTACCTTCTGTTAACTCAGAACCTGTCCCTTGTCTTATTTTTACCCTGCTCATTCAGAATATTCTCTGGTATTCACTTAATGTGCTTCAGAACTTTAGTGCCAGTTGATCTCAAGTAAGTGGGACAAACCATGGCAGCTTCAAGTACCTGGAGTTCACCAGTTCCAGGGCAAGTCAGAGCTCTCATTTTTCGCTGGTACCTTGGGCCACCAGTGAATGAGTTCTTATTTTTCCATTAAACCGTCGTCTCTGAACACCCACAACAAATATTCTGTATTCTTGTTTTCCACAGATGAGTGCTAACGATTGTCAAGACCCTCCAGAGTACTGGACAATCCATGGACTATGGTATAATCATGGAGTGCTTTTATTTTAAGTTGGAAAAAAAAAAAAAGTTGTTTTGCACCAGGATGTTTAGTGCTTTTTCTGTTGAGGGCTCAATCAATCTGTTTTATCTTACGATTGCTTGAAACAAAAGTCCTCATTTTGTAGGAAATCAAAAACCGATGTTTTGATATAAAACTTAAATACATTCCTATAGATCTCATGACTCAGGGAGTTCCTAAAATCCTGTTGCCACGTGAGCATTTTACTTACACATCTCTTTATAAAATCACTGATGTTCTCAAAGAAAAAGGGAAGTGTGTTTTCCCCTCTTTCTTTCTCTCCCTGAGTACATAGAACTTGTTGGTGTCTCATGACTGCCTGTGGCTTTAAGAGTCTTAACCCGGCACAAATATGGTAAAGGCATAGGAAAAATGTATTTGCTTCCAAGAATCAGCTTGCAGGAATTGGTATGAACGGCAACAGTTTGAAGGTCTTCGTAGTGACAAATAAGGGGGAAATCTCAATAGAGGAGCTTGGTGAGCTCTGTGCTCTCGAAGGGTGAGCAGCATTACAGCTAGACTTCCAGTGGTGTTTAGGTGAAACTTGCAGATTCATCGCTTGGTGCAGTGGTTGGGGAGGTCAACTTCAATAGTGACATTATGTGCAAGACCTTTCCATATCATTACTCTCCCCTGTATGTCCTTTGTACAGGATGTGAATGATTGGAGGGCCTAACAAAGAGCCTCTGTTTTGGGGAAACGTTTTGGCTGTGATTCATGTTTGAAATTTTTACTCGTAAAACACTGTAGATGCTGATAGGCTACTTGGATTTTTTTAAATCAAATTTCCAGCTGTAATCCTGCATGTTTAAAATTTAGGCTAGTGATACGTTGTCATCTACCATTAGTGAGTTGTGAGACGTCTTTTTTTCACTTTTATTTTTCTTCCCTAGGCCTGGCAAAGCCGAAGATTGTAATAGGACATGGCACTTCAATGTCACTGAGATTAAGGTATTTATTTAAATTAAAACAATCATACCAAGTAGGGCTGAATGCAATTACTTTTGCACATCTTTTATGCAAAAAACTGTACAAAATCTGTAACTCCTAATGTATCACTCCTAAAGCAGTTTTCTGACAGCTTTGTGCTTTTAAAGACTCCAAACATTCAGTATGTGCTTCTAGTATTACTTGAAGCCTGCCGTGCCTATGATGATCAGCAGCCCTTCGTACTTGATTTTGCAGACATGTGGTCTGACGCGTCCAGCCGCTATCTGCTGAAAAAAATCCAACAAACCTAGACTGTGGATCTCCAGTACCTGTGAAAAAGAGGTTGCAGTAAATTCACGTTCTTTGCGAATCGTTTTCTCCTAGAAAGCCAGAACTGAGGAAATAGTTCAGAGCACGTCTTGTATGTGTCTTCTCCCAGGGCTGTTACTGAGCATCAGCTGTTTTAAGCCCTTTTCTTCTGCTGGGACTGCTAAGAGAAATGAAGGTCCTTTCCAATATCTCCAAGCGTAGATACAGATAAGAAAGAGAGGAGGAGTGAAAACTGCAGTGTATCGTCATCTTATAAAATAAAAGGAAGAATTCTACATTTTATTCAGATGTTGTATAAATGGAGATGTGAGAGCTGAGCTTACAAATGTGAAAAGCTCCCTGATTGCTCAATGTCTGCAGGACCATTGAAGGAGGCAGGGTACCAGTATTTTAATACATTGTTTTACATATTTAGGTATCTGCACCTACCGGTCGCCTCCAACAACAGCATTTTCGGAACACCGGGGAAAAGGGCATCTTTACTTTTTCTGGCAGTAAATGTTTTTGTTTTTTTGTTGAAAGATGAGGCTTGTGTTTTAGAAAATATATCAATGTATGTAGATTGTGTAAGAAATACCTCTCAGATCTGCAGATGCTTTTCCTTATTTTTGTTATTTTTAGGATCTTCTGTCAGACATGAGACGCTATTGGCCTGATGTGCTTCATTCATCCCTGAATCGCACCCAGTTCTGGTGAGTTCAAACAAAACTACACAGTATTTTGGATATCATTTCACAAAAAGGCTGTATAAGTTGGAAATTCTTCAGGTGGGATGTGTGCACTGTATCCAAGAGAGGAGCATACGCCTGAGAAGCAGCCCCCTGGACACCACTGAAAGCAGTACCTCTTGACTTCTCTGTCTTATGTGAAGAAAAAAAAAAAAAAAAACCTCTTTTCTTGCCAGAACACTTGCAGAAAGCAGCTGTTAAAAAGGGGGCTATTGCAGAGCTTTTTGAGAAGTGGAACCTGGAGAAAGGGAGAGAATGTGTTTTTTATTTGCCCCTAGGGAGAAGCAGCAGCTGCTGTTGACACATTTAACACTCTCCTGGGATGTCACAACTAGCTGCAAGAACAGCTTTCTGGCCTCTTTACCCAGCTTCACTGTGCTGCTGGCCTTGGGAAACTTTTATTTGAGGCTTTCTCGCAAAGGAGGGTATGGAAAAATAGGATGGATTGGATGGTCCTGGCTACTTTTCTACAGGCTTCTCTCTTGCTATTTATTTTTCTAGCAGCCTAACCCCAGATCAACTGGGGTTGATCAGCTTGCCAGGCTCATGGGAATGGAGGAGATTTTGGTCTCTCCTGACAACAGTCCTGTTTCCCTTCTTCTCCAAGCTTCTCTTTCTTTCTGAATAATCAGACACTTGGACTGAAGAGAAGCGAGTAGTGGGTATTATTTGAGTGTGCACAGGCTTCGGTTTGAGTACATTATTTTGAACTGAAAGAAGTTGGCAGTTCGAGTTAATTTGCTGCCTTGCGAGCTGCATCAGCCAAGGTATGGGTATGCAATTTCTTCTTCCAGATCTACTGTGAAAGCAGTAACATCAGATAATAAACAGAGCATGTAGCTAGGGGCGGTAATATCTGAAACTGTCCCAGCTATTCAGCTAATTCAATGCCTGTTTCCTTTGGATTGGATGACAATTTCCTCACCATGTTGCTCGGAAAAACCTTCAAGGGAATGGCTGTCTCTTTTAGTCTCGTCCTCACTCTACAAAAGATCCTAGTCCTCAGACTCTTAAACTAGTTCCACAAGTGCCTTATGACAGCCTAAACCTGTAATCCTGTTAAAAGCACTTTCAGGTACTTCTCCCTCCACCCCTTTATTCTTGCACTGAACTATCTCTCTGTGCCATGACCGCCTCTTTCAGTGGTAGCACCGGTTAGTGTCAATTTAAACTGGTCCTGGAATTAGAATAAGAAAAGCGTGTCCTAGAACTAGCACTGCCCATGCTGTGACCACCTGTTCGTGAAAACAAGTGATTTCATCTGAAATGTGTGCATAGCAGTCCTTGTATTACTAATGGAGATATTTTGGCAGGCAACAGGTGTGAACAAATATAATCAAACTCTTTTGCCTTTCAGTTGAAGGCTAGCTAACAGCATTTATTTCAATACTTGGAAACATCATTAGAATAGAAGCAATACAAATCAGATTATAGCACTGTAACTAATACTTTGATTGACAAAGTAATTCAATCTCTTTCAGTAAGGTGAAAAGTACACTGTAATTGGTAGCCCTAATTGCAGATTCTATAAATGAAAACTCTGGAGCAAACTGAAAGCCAGTAAAATTCTGTTGTACTTCTTACAAGATTTTCATTGTCCTAGGCTAAAGGCTTATTAATTAGATAAAGGGCATAAGCAATGACAAACAAAATGGATACTGAATATCAGAGCATATCACATCAGGGTTTTTCAAAGACTGCTATAATTACATAGTAGCTTTCTTCCTGGGTTTACCTCTAACTGTAGTCCTGACTCAATTGGTCAGATCAGAAATACTTTCTGGGGATTTTAGGATGGCTGTGGATGCCTTTGTAAAAATAATTGCGTCATTCTGTTCACCTTGTTAATTTACAGACTGCGACAGTTGCCACCCAGGAGTTTTAGTTGTACAGGATAGAAAGCGTTCATACAGGAGAAGGGGATATGGGTGCTTTATATCTCAAGATTTATAAACTGAAAGCATCCTTTAAAAATAAGTTTTAGGTTAATAATCTTTTGGACCATAGCAAAATTTCAGACCAAGAGAACTGCCTGCAGGATCAGCTTATACGTCTGATCCAGTGGAAGGAATCCTCAGACTTTAGCCTATAGGACAGCTGAGCGTCCTTGATCCTCTACATTTTGTTGGTAGCACTTGCATCTGTAGGTTTGCAGATCTTTTTTCCTACCTAATAAGCCAGTTTTCAAGCTGGGTGGCTTCTGCAATCTGCGGACCTACCTGATAAAGCTTCCAGCTTTATCTGCCACATCTGCGTGACTTAGTGCTTCAGGAAACTCAGTCCTTGCTGTACACAACAGAAAGCAAAATCTCTTCGAGTTTCAGCTTCCTTTTCACAGAGCTGAACTGTACCAGTTTCATTTCTTTGCATTTCTGCAGCCCCTTAAGACTTCATTCGTAGAACTCGGCGTCAAGCGGTGCAAGCATAGCATTTATTCTTAACAGCACTATAGAGAAAATGATGGAGCTGGACAAATTACGCAGTGGAACCCAATCTAATGCGGTAAACCCCACTCCTGTGTGCCTGCCAATGTACTTGTGTCCTACAAGGAGGGAAAATGTCCAGCAAAGTTCTTGACTAGCATATGTGCTCTGTGCTAATGCCTTGCTTATGGATATGAGAAGTATAGAAGGGTGGATGGTCTTTCTGAATACAGTAAGCTATGTTCTCTATCTACACGCCACACAAGTATGAGCTGAGGCTTAAGTGAAATGACCTTGTCTTATTCTGGCCCACACGAAGGACTTGAATAACACTGAGGCATTAATTCTTTCGATTTCTGAACACAAATTCTTTTTCTTCTTCCCTGGAACCTGCAGCTCCTCCATTTCCTAACCACTTCATTTTGCATTGAAGTGGAAGAGGTGCAGGTTAAAGTTCATGTGCGTGTACTTAATTGTTAGAATTGGGTGCATGTTAATCACTCTGCTTTTTCACATGGCTCTGCTGCAAAAATCAAGTCACACTGTCAAAGGAAGTGTCATCTTGAAATTGCTGTAATTGTTTTGTAGTGACTCTGAATTAGCTCTCCATTCTGGAAGCTCACAGTACCGATTTGAAAACTTGGGCCCTGTCTGCTCTTGGCTTTCTGCAACTGGTGAAGCATGAGCACTGTCGGCACTGTCTGTGGGTGCCTCTGTATCTTTTCACTTTCGGAACCCCACAATCCCATTGCCCAGGCCCTGCGTTTCGTCCTAGCTGGACCAAACCTCTCCAATAGCAGTTGCAAGTCAGCAGTAACATGCATCTAGAGCATCATCAGGTATGTGGCCCTCTGTCTCTGCCTTCTTCCGGGGAAAAAGCAGGACAATTAAATACAAGTACCGTGGCTGGGCACCGTGCTTTACCTTTAGATTACACACGTGCGTATAATCTTTGAAATATATTGACATCCTTCATGCAAATCCTTGCCTCCAGCTTCTTGCTGTTCTTCAATTTGACTGTTGTCTGCTTCTGGTCCTAGCTAACTGCCCTATATCTCTTACCAAATTTGCCCCTAAAAGAGCTTCTACTTTGTAAAATTGAAATCACTGATAAGAAAGAAGGCTACAAGTACCTTGCCAGGAAATCTGCTATTTGGCCATCTCAAAGTGGAGTTCTCCAGGCAGTAGACAATTCACTAGACACGCGTTATATGCTTCCATTTGAACCAGAGGTGCTCCAGTTAAAACTCGTTGCATAGTTTTGTTAGTTCTCTGTAACATAAGGGTAAAAGGACTACCGGGTACCTACTGCAATCAGAATTGTTTTATGTCTGCTCATGTTGCGAACAAAGCAGTCAGATTCAAATTAGATGTGTTACAGACAAGATTAGAGCACTTCACAAAGCTGAATTTGTGAACGTATAGTGAAAATCTCTCTGTAACTCATCTTCTCCCCTTCTTCAAATTTCTCGGCCCTACAGTTGCTTTATTCATTCTCTGTTCAAAAGTAGTGTTCCAGTTTCTCTAGTTCCAAGGATAACTTCTTTAAAGTGCTTTCATTCCTTAAGAAGAATCTTTAGTTTTCATCGTGAATGGACAACTCAAAGGCATGCTTTCAAGTGAAAAATAATTGGCATTGTGTTTCTTTGCTTCTCCATGGAGTACTGAGGCATCATAATGTCAGGGAATGCCCTGGTAATGGCAGGCATTTGTGATTAGATGATAACTTTTTGTGCATGTCTGCTGAACTGACACCTATTTAACGCCAATGACTCATGGAAAATCTGGAAAAAAAAATGAAACAAAACAACAGATGTTCATATTAAAGATTATACTATTTAGTCTTTCAGTAGATTTTAGAAGTCATAGGAAAATCTTTGGAGTTTTGCCTCATTTTTTTTCTGTCCTCTATGAGCTTATACCTGTCATAATATTGCAAGAATTGTTTTATTTTGCACTCTGTTCTGTTGCACTCTGTTTGCATTAGTAGATCTGAGAGTGCAATAGGTGCAAGACTTCAGAACAGGCCTGGGTAGATACAGCAACGGGCCAAAGTAAAAATTGAGGCAACAGTCATGCATTATCAGCTTGTGCAGTTTCACTGATCCACCCAAAATAAGGGTCAGATTCTTCAGTTCTGAAAACCTTTCAGTGCTTTGAAGTTCAGTTAGCATAAAAGTTATACTAAAAATTATACAGAAGTTACAAATATGCACGTTTTTGGCAAATGCTTACTGTTCTGACCTCCAAACATCGCTTAGTAGTACAGTAAGAGAACTTTGTATCACATGAGCGTAATACATAATTTATTTCGTAATTCCTCCAGTTAACTATTTCACCAATAAGCTGATTCAGAAGGAGACAGCTCAAAAAGGTGAGCATTTTAGACTAACTTAGTCTAAAGAAGCACCTGAACAATCCTCTTGACTTGATACGTTTTTGTCACGCTCTTGTGTCATAGAGTTCTCTTAGTCAGCTGAAGTATGAAGTAACAATTTGTTCTGCATCATTATCTTATCTCCTCACGTTGCAGTTTTCAGCCTTAAGAAGATAGCTACCTTCTTTTGAAGGTATAGAGGAGAGAAAAAAAAAAAAAAAAAAATGTTATCCTTTACAGGTGCAGGGCTGAACTATAAATTAGTGAGTTTTTGCACAAATATACAAAACTTACTGCAAAGCAGAATATCGATTCTGGATGTTCCAGGCCCATAATAATATCCTAACCATTGAACCGTCCTCTCCTTTCTCCTCCACTATTCTTACGTTGATTTGAACGGTCTCTCTCATGCAACTGCCAAAGTTAAGGGCAACTCATATTTGTAATAAGACTTATTTTCCTGAAAGAATTGTCTCTTAGTCGGATGTTACAAACCGTAATAAGGGACAAGTTAGACGTCTTCCCTACTCTCCTCGTAGGTGTAAAATCCCTTGGAAAATACTTCTACTAGAAAAAATAAATGTGTTGATGTAACTGAAATGTTAGAAGCGATCTTTTCTGGTTTTGCTTTTTGCACGTGCAGTGTTTTTTGTGTGAGATGTCCTACCATATAAATAGCCTTTCAGTTACTTGATTGAAGCCTGTTGGCTGGCTTGCACAGACCATAGCTCTTCAAATGATGTTTTCTAAAACATGAATTTTGCTTTCTGCCGATAGGAAACATGAGTGGGAGAAGCATGGAACTTGTGCAGCCGCGCTTCAGATCCTTAATTCTCAGAAGAAGTATTTTGGTAAAACCCTGGAACTCTATCAACGCGTTGATCTTAACAGGTGCGTAAATGAACTCCTTGGTCTTCCTTCTATTTCAATCAGTTTCTAAAAGTTTCCAACCCAACTTAAAAAAAATAAGCTTAAAAACCGAACAGCAGAGGAGAAACGAGCTTTAGCCTAAATTATTTTTAGTCCTTGAGTTCAGAGGTAGGGTTGCCTGACGCTGACAAGCATCTCTCTGACTACTTCAGAGCCTGGTGAGCCAGCAGCATGCTTCACAACATCTTTTTAGACAATGTGCCAGTAAGTTGTGAGGACTTTTATCAGATATATCTCACTAGCAAAAAACTCCAGTACTTATAGACTTCTAAATTAAGTGACAATGCTCACAAACTTCTGAGTCATACTGATGCCCAGGTGCTCAGAGAAGACAGTGCTCTGCTCAAATAAAAGAACAGGCTGCATGCAAAACTGTGCTGAGCAGTCTGGGAATAGGCTGAGATTTAACATGGGGATGTGTTGTGACTTGTCCGAGCGCTACAGGCACACGTTGAGGCTGCAGATGAATGCCAAAAGTCCAGGAGTCCTTTCCTGATTGAGCTTGGCCCTGGGGGCAACATTGGTCTCAGATTAGTTGATCATGAATTGGCTTTCTACAGAAAACAGTATCTAAGAGGAAAAGACAGATTTTCCATATTTATCTAGAATTGTGTCTGTTAAAAAAAAAAATCCAGCTCATGTCCTATCACTGTCTTGTTCAAGCAGTCTCCTCTCAAAGTCCTATTCACTTGGCATATGTGGAAAGGAAATATGTCTTTCTTCCATCTCCCATCCTGTTTTTGTAGAATCTTAATCAGATTTTTCTAGTCACAGCACTTAAGAGCGCGTCATATGCACTACTAAAATTAGTAATGTCTGATAAGTCAATTGCCTAAGTAGCTGTGATGGTGTGACTAAAACATTTTACAGATGGTACAGTGACCAACTGTGTGACTCTTTATGTCAGCATGTGTAACACTGAAAAAGAATAGAGACTGAAAACATGTTGAAGTTAATTGCTCATAGCACATTCTTCACTGTAAAAATTAACATAATTTAATTTTCACTGAACAGAATAAAGACTGCTAATGTTCTCACTGTACCTCGTTTATATTTTTTCATGAGGAAAGGTAGTGTTACGGTGATTAAAAGATTGTCTCCAAAAAAGAAGCTATTAAGAAGAAGACATATTATATATGTTGCAAGAATGACAGAACACTATCTTATTTCCTGGCCTGCTTATATCCAGTATAAAATGACTATGACAAACACATAGGCCTTTAGTCAACTGGGTTAAATCTCCCCTCTGCAGGAACTGACTTTGGAAGGGCTGAGCATTATTAGCGCTCACTGGATTAAATCCTGAGAGGTATTGAACATTCCCAGTTCTTACTGAAGAAGCTGGGACTTAAGGAGACTCAGCACCTGTTGGGTCCTGAGTCTTGCTGGCAACTTAAAGCTTGTGCTTTCCTCAAGGTCAGATCTAGAGAAATGGGGAAGGTAGGCTACAGATTCTTGAGAGTTACCTTGTTTCTCTTATGTGAGCAATATTTCTCTTCAAAAATGTACTTGCTAAGGGACCCCGAAAATGTTTCTGCCCTGGTATTGATGATGCTTATCCACATCTGCATACCATGTACCTCTTGCTGTGTGCCATGTGCCTCCCATCCCAGCAAGCCTCCCCTGTATTAGAGAAGTAGGACGCTCAGAGCACCTTGTGAGTCTTCCTCGGTCCCTTCCCAATGGCCAGAGCACAAGGCTCAGGGGAACAGAAGGCGATTAAGCTGTAACTCCTACCTGACACTCAAAAGAGCAGTAGGAAGATCCAGCAGATGAAAACAGTATTGCCCTTTCCCTAGCCGCATCTGAAGACTTACCTCTTCCAGCTCTTCTGAATAGGTAGGGTAGGGAGTTCTTGCTGACCCTGCCAGGTAGGGTGGTGAAGAGGCTTGTCAGAAAAGAGAGGCTTACCTAGGCCCGGCAGAGGACGGAAAACAAGTTTCCCTTGCTCTCCCTCACTGTAATGCTTGCCAAGTTCTCACTAATTCTATCCATTTATCTAGTGGTTACGAAGTTATATTTGCATACAGGAATCATGAAAAGTGTTTTATCTTTGTTTCAGTTATCTCCTGAAAGCTGGGATAAAGCCAGGCAGTACATATTACAAGGTAAGAGGCAATCTTTTATGAAACAGAATCATGTGTATGTACTTTTCTCAGCTTAATTTCTAAAGAGGAAGTGATGTCTCTTAATTGTATAGTTCTTTAGAGCTGTGCTTTATCTAAGAGTTTTTGTTAACTTACAAATGTGGGAACTGTTGGAAAAGGTGCTAGTGACTTCTTAATTTATCCGAATTTTTAAATCTTTCAGATGACTGCCATAAAAGAAGCTCTCACAAGTTGTTATGGTGTAACACCAAAGATCCAATGTCTTCCTCCAGAAGAGGTAAACAATTAAAAAAACCCCACAAAAACGAAAAACCCTTTTCTTAAAAAGGAGCCTTACTTATCATATAACAAAAGCAAAACAAGACTGAAAGGTCTTCAACATGTGGAAACTTAGGTCTGCATGTTCCTTGTGTTTGCAGCTCTTTGCAAATTAGATCGATATTGCTGAATTCTTAGAGTCAAGTTCATAAAAATGTTGCCTACACACTGGCATCGCTGAGTTCAGCTTATGTTACTGTTGCTGGAGCCTTTTATAATGCATAAATACAACTAGTGCAGGAAGTGCCCACTCTTCATCTAATAACCTTGTTATTAGTATACTCCCTCAGAAAGTGGGAGCACTGGGTTTGAAAACCGCCTTCATCTCAAAAGGGCTTGAACCTGCATCTCTTTTGCAGCTTTTAGGTGAATGCCATAACTATCAGGCTAGAGGTGAGGCTGTAGCTGAGCACTCTCTGCTCCTCCTGCTAAACCGTAATCACCATAAAGGAAATTACTAGGACTAATAGCCGTGATCAGAAAGGAGCCTGTGACTGCAGGCCTTGACAGTTGTACTACCTATCAAAGCGGTGGTTGTCTGTCCTTCACTGGGAGTAGCTCATATATTTTGCTTGAAGAAGTTACGGAGTGAACAGAATCCCTCAGAAGTAAAATAATTCAGAGACTTGTCTCGGGCTCTTCTCAAAAAACCCTACCTGAAGAGGTGTAAAAAGGTCTTTTGAGCTTCAGCGGATGACCGTAGTCTTTTCTTTCCAGCAACACTGTCTAACATTTTGATCTCCCTTTCCCTTTTCTTGCCAATGATTGAGCTGTGAGCCACAATGCAGTGGAAAACATGGTACCCAGAGACAGCGTACCGCTGCTAAAAACACAGGTCTGCATATCTGAACCCAAAGTGCCTTTGAAAAATAATACTCTAGACAGTTACATGGGTAAGCTGTGTAGCACTCACTTCCCTGATGCAGTAAGGTGGCTCTGCTTTAAAAAAAGTAAATGAATAAAAGACAGAGAGAAAGAAGATAGCTCTTCCTCTTACAAGGGGCCCCTTATTGTCTCAGCTCGACAAAAGTGGTTTACTACAAAACACTTCACAGAGTTATTGCAAATACACAGACGGCAGTTTTGTGAGCGTTTGCCAAGATGCAGTTGCTGTTGGTGTTTAATAGCTCTTGTGTTGTCAGTTCATTTGCTTTAGCAATGCTCTGAGGCCTTTATGCTCAGATGTTGCTTTGCGTAAAAAAGAATTATAGGTTAAAACTAAATCAAAATATATTTTTAAGTTATTTAAACACCAAAAAAATAGGGGTTGAATGTCAGCTGCACGCTCACCCATCTCTTGATGTTGAAGAAAAATAGAGCTAACGCAAAGCCCAAATTTTAGCTCTGTTTACATTCACTGTAGTTCTACCATCACTTTAAGTGTAATCGGGATACTGTTCAAAATATGTGAAAGTAATTTCACAGTTTGAATCTCCTGTGCTTAACAGCTGAAGCTAACGGGTGATGGAGAGGAAAGAGGACACCCCAGTTATAGTCATTTTCAGAGATCCAGCCTTGTAGTTGCCTGAGGTGCCAGCCTGCCTTATCAAGGAACTCAGATGCCTGAAATATATTATACATTTGCTGTGTTATTAGGTTTCTTAAACAAACAGAAAAACCCCACTGTTGTTTTGTACATAGATTTTGTCCTGCTTAGCAGTTTCAAAAGCAATGTTTTCCACATGCACTTCTTTGTCACACCTGTCCATTCTTTGGGCTTTTCTCATAATCTCCTTTCCTGCATACGGTTTCCATGCCTTCCTTCCTTTTTTATGGCCAAGGTATTTCTTCCTAGTCTGTCTTGCAGTTCAAAAATTACATCTCTGCTATTTTTGACAGACTGCTCTTGTGTTCTTCTCAGTACAAGCTTTTGTAAAAATTTTACTTTCTCCTTTCTGGAGAATTGTCTGTGCCTCAATTCCCATCCTGTTATGGAAGGGTTGCTGAAAGGAGGCTTTCCAGGTCAGACATTTCCTTTAATATTCTCAGAGTTCAGCCAGAGCTCATCATTAGGATAAACAGCTTCTGCATACTGTGCAGACTTGGTAAATGCGAAGATAATCTGTGTCGCAACATTTCGTAGCGAGACTCACTAGTCAGATTCCCCAAGATGTTTCCGAATTGGGATGCTGGAATGTGTTTCCTTGTGTGCTTGCTCCTTATAAGACGAGTGTGTGCTATAAGCTGTTCAAAGCGGATAACCTCTCTTACCTGTCTCTCCCTCATGTTTTTTAAGTGACAAACCTACAAATAAGCACTACTGTATAGTCTACCTAAAGCAAATATATCTGAAGAGTTAGTCTGTTTTCCTCTCCACAACAAGCTGATCTCATTATTCCTGTTTCTAGGGTGAAAAAGCACAAACAATTGGCCAGATTGAATTCTGCTTCACCAAAGACTTAGAACTGAGAAACTGCACAGAACCGACGGGTGGATCTGAGCGAATGCAGGCTGGCTTGCAGCTTGGAACGGGGGAGTTGTCTGTCTGCAATGATACTCTCCCTACCTACTACCCTTCACAGGTCCAAGGTCACAAATGAAACCACAAGAGTGTGAAAAACTTTTTAAACAAAAACCCTTTTAACATTATACCTTAAAAAGCAGTCTTGACTTGGCAAAACCTGTCCATTATCATTGGCATGCTATGAGGATTTCTGCTGGAAGCAGAATGTGCTCCTCCTCCTGTTAAAGGAGAACGGTCCACATTGTATTGTGAGTTACAGGAGGTTGAAGTCTTGGATTGTTGTTCTGGTATTGATGGAGTCGGAATCTGATTTTCAGTTTTGTCTGGATTTTTTTTGGCTCGTGTACAGTTGAATCAATGTTCAAAAGAGAAGTGTGACTTCTTACTTTCGTTTGCAGTTAAGTCTGCCACATTAGCCACTTTCTTCTATTTTTTGCCAGTGAGCCAGGGAGATTAAGTCATCCTTTGTTCCAAAAAGATGCTCATCTCTACAAGATGAGATTACAATTTCTTGGGAAAGAAATATCGTTACGCAGAAGAACTTCGAAACCTGTCTGGAGATCCTTTCTCACACAGAATACCCGCCGCTTTCTGTAGCGGGTATTATATCATTTCTTTTGCTCTCCAGAAGTGCTGAACAGAGGCTACGTCCTCTGAGGCATTAAACCTTTTCTTACCCAGAGGTCACTGAGGACCAAAGATGACAACTTCTGCACAACTTCTTAGTGAACGAAGTAACGTTCACCAGCTTTTGTCACCGCTGGTTATGGGTGCCTTTCTCAGGACCCCAAAAAGCTTTTTATTTGCAGGCTCTCCTATCCTTAGACTTGAGTTTGCCTCAGTAACTCCATACGCTCATAAAGAACTACCAGTCTTACGTGCTAGTATAGGAAAATAATGTTATGCCATAGAAACATGGTATTTATTCTTAAGTTTTCATCCCATTTGAGCATTTAGCACTTCTACATAGATGTGAGTGGCTGAAATTCATTTAAAAATATGAGATTTTCACATAATCACTTGGTTCCAAGAAACAGCTTTTTATAGGAAAAATAGTAAATACTGTAAGATTTTCAGTGAGAAGTACGAATGTTGGCAATAGCCCATCCCTGTCCAATAATAATTAATAATATGTAACAAAAGTTTCCAAATGGGACCAAATTTGGATAACATCCGCTATGCAGAGCTGTGTTGATGCAGGTGTCCCAAATTGTGTCTCAAAGACATTATGGCTCAAGGAGCCATCTGCTAGAAAAATATTACTTGAAAAACATGAAATGCAGTGTTAGGAACAAAAACTACTATGTCATCTTAGTTTTAGAAATCTTTCATATACTCTCACTTTCTGCTGCTGCTGTCTCTGTACCACCATTCATTTTAGGCTCTGTTACCTTGCCATTGCAGAATGCTGTCAATTTTTTGAGTCCTTTCTGTAGAAACACAGAGATCTTGCTTTAAAAAAAAAAAAAAAGAAAAGAAAGAAAGAAAGAAAGGAAATCCAGTAAAGGAGTATGTTCTGTACTCCATTGTGCCTTTTAAGGGAGCAAGGGCTTCTCTTTCCAAATTTGTCTTCCCTCCTAAGAGGGGGAATATACTAACATAATGTATTTTTAAAGTATGCTATAAAACCTTTAAAATCAACCCAGTTTTTCAGAAATAGCCTGTTCTTCTTCCTCCACCATTAGGGTCCTCCTATTAGAAGTATTTGAAATTGATCTTACTGGTCACAAATGGAGAATTTTGAAGGGAAAGGGCTGAGAATATAACATGTGGTACCTGGCATATATAGCAATGAATTCGCTGCTGCTTTAAGTAGGTTAATATTTTTGGGTGAACTGGCTTCAAGGCCTGTTTGATTATATTAAATATGATAAGTGTTTTTGAGTGACTTTGGGATGGCTAGGCTAAATTTCCCTGTTAAATCTTTTTTCAGCAAAGCATAACAGGATGACTGCTGCTGTTGGTTCTGTCTGTAGCGTTGCAGCTGAACTCAGTGGGAACTCTGCATGCATTCTGAGCGCACAAAGTTGAATCAAAGACCAGAAATAATCTATTGCTTTATCAGTATTGTTTTGGACATGTTTCAGGGAGAGGCAGTGAAAGAGGAAAAATATGTTGCCTTTTGGAAGTGTTGTGCTGATTCAATAGTTTCTCCAGGGTTAGTTTTATTAATTGTAGGTAATGTTCTAATAATAAGAGGGGAACTTTGCAGACAACACTTTCTAAAATTTCAATATGTATATATGTTTGTTGTATATTGAATATAGCACATCTGTTTTCAATCAATAGCAGTAGTACTGGATTGCTTTATTCAGGAACTGTGCTAGTATTAAATTGTCAGTACTCAAAAGCTAATAAAAAAATATATATATAATGACAGAATCACGGCCTGCTACTTTTAGGGTCCTATTTAAAATTTGTATTAAATGTTACATTCAGAAAAAGATATTTTAATTCCATGCTCTTCTCATCAGGCTGGGCTTTTTTTGAAGTTTTTTGTTGCAAGCCCAGATTTAAACAATGTGCTAAATGCATAGAACTGAAAAGCTTCTTGAAATTTTTCCCTGAGTTTTCTGTTACTGGACTTTGCATATCAGGAATGAATTCTGGTAAATGGGATTCTTCCACTTCTGTGTGAGCAATTTCCAAGTTTCTCATTTTACCATTTGTGATTCCGCACAGAGCTTTACTCTCTTTTGTTATTAAGACTACTGTATGCCATGATATGGATCTAATACACAGAGGCACAGGACGGAGTCAGGGCACTACAGCTGGGCTGAGCTCTGGAAAGCTGAAATTCCTCTGTTCAGTTCCTGTCTCCGAGACCGACAGTCAGCAGTATCTGCACACTACTGACCAGCCAGTGATGAGTAACATTAGTGTGGGTGATATAATGATATTACAGTTCTAAATACACACAGTATATAAACAGTGCCAGAATTATTAAGTGCCAATGCTACAATGATATCTGTGACGCTAACCTCATGCTGCCCAGCTACCCAGCTCGGGTCTGTGCTACCCAGCTCGGCTGTGCTCTTCCTCAGACCCCTGCGCAGGCTGCGGTGGTGGTATTTGCATGCTACTTTAGCATGAGCTAAAGTGCTTGAAAAGATTAGAAAGGTACTTGGGTTTTTTTGTGGAATCCTTTTGAAGTCAGTATTATTTTTCCTTCTAATCACAAGAATTATCTTTGCACAGAAGAAAACAAAGACTTGTTGGAGAAAAAAAAGATCATTTCTCTCTAAAGGACCAGCCCACGACTGATGCACTTCAAAAAATCTCCCCTCAACTCTTAGGTAGTACTTAAATGGTGCGTAGGTTTTATATGGACTACACAGAGTGAAAGCCCGTTATGAACATTAACTTATAACTCTCATCATAAGCTTATTAAAGAAACAAGACTCATCTATTCCTCAAAATCATGCTTTTTTTATGTTTTAGATTTTTTTTGGTCCTTTGAAATTCCTTGTTCTCCTTTTCCTTTCAAAGTTCTCAGACTGCTGTGCTGTATCCTCATTTGTTATGCTAATCACCAGTGAGGGAAGTGGGAACAGAGGTTGATAAGCGCCATCAGACGATCTCACAAACATCTTGGTCAATACTTTCCAGTAACTGGTTCTGTCACAAACACAGTTCTTAATTAGAATAATAGAAGTCTCAAAATCTCACTGTAAATACTGTCATCTTGGGTGAGCGCAGGCAGTAGGAAAAAAATCCCGTAAAATCCAGTCACGTACTCTGCTGTCAAATAAGTGATTTGGTTTCGCCTGATTTTCTGCAGTTGTGTTCCAGTTCCTCAGTCCTCTTCACAGTTGCCTATCAGCTGCAAGGAAAGCTCAAACTTGAAAGCAATAATAGAGTTATTGGTTCTTGTGCAGAGGTTTGCTTAATGGAAGCTTGAATCAATAGCCTGGTGGGTTCCTTTAATTGCACTATAAATTATATATTCCATTATAATAATGCCAAATAACGCTTAGGAAGACAAAATTTACTGTACAGCAGTTCTCTGCAGTTCTCAAGTGTAATATATTAATTTAATCAAGCAAACAAGTGCAAATACATTCTTCAGAAGGAAGTGACACAGCCACCAACAGTCTTGGCAATGAGATGCTCGAAGATAAAGCTGACTCTTGCCAAATAGAGAGTCAGCAAATATCAAAAAGACTCAGAAACTACCAACCTCTGTGACAGAGTAGAGAGCATAACTTCCATGCACATTTCAACCTCGTTTTCAAATGCAAGGAGTGTGAGGGAGGTGATAAAATTTAAAACTTTGAGGAGAAGCTGCATAATCTGAAATGGGAAAGGGAGAGGAAGGGAGGGATATAACAAAGCCAACATGCTAAACAACAACCTGCTACAGACTAAAAAGTGATTAATGAATGATAAGTTCAAGTGGGTGGAAAAATAATCTCACAGATGCTTGAGTCCTGTTCTAAGGGACGTACCTGAGGTATTGTATTTGCCTCTAACAATGGCTCACAGCCAGTTACCAATCTTGGCAGTTGCTTTTCATCAGAGTGTATATGGTTTCAAAAGTTAGATTGACACAATTTAAATACTAGAGGTAAAAAATAAATGGATATTGGCAGCCTTAAGAATCACTTCAGCTCTGAAACGTGTCACTCACTTCCTTAAGCATATGGCCGTTCTTTAGAACAAGATAAAATCAACACAGCCTGGAGAAGATGGGAGTTTTATACTTTTTTAGTTAAGTAAATTAACTAAATCCCAACAGCAGAGTTGTTTGTACAGTCTCAGTACTTTAAAACACTGGTCACAGATTCCACAAAGGGACTTTGCCTGTTTCTATCCTGTGTTCCTGTGCTCTCTCACGCAACATGCATGGGTGTTCCTTGGGGGCAGGGTGAGTATACAGGCTGTCCCCTTTCCAAGGACAGCCCCTCTTTCTAGACAACGAGCAGGGTCTCCTTTCTTTGCTCTCACTCTT